TGGGTGAGCCCCACACTCCTACTCCCCCACCCCCAGTGGGGACTTCTGCTCCTGCTTCTGCCAGGCTTCCCCAGCCATGTGACAAGCCCACCCAGTCCACCCCTCCTCCAAACCAGGCCCTTCCCCCACACCCTTTGGCCAACATTCCCACAGGGGTGACGTGTATCGTAACTTTTCATTTTCTGGATTTCTGATATTTAAATTTGCATGATCTTTAGCCCCCCAATCCTGGGTTCATTGGAGAGCAAGGTGAGAGGCTCAGACACTCCAAGAAGAGCAGGGTCCCTAGATCCCAGCCCACATGGAGGAGCAGGGCTCTTCCCAGATCCAAGCACCCACACAGAAGGGGAGAATTCAGGGCTGACAGCCCACCCCCAAATCCTCAACTTCCTTTGCTACCCCTCACATTCCCCATCCTCTCCTCTCACGCTCCCCCAATCCCTCCCCTCCCCATTATTTGAGCCCCTAACCCTTCTTCCTACCCATCCTCATTTATCCCCCTCCTCATGTGCCGGCTTCCTCCTTTCCCCAGGGGTGCTCAAACCCCCGCTCAGCTCCAGGCCCTGCCCCCAGTTCACCCCTTCCCCCAAAGCCCCACCCCTGTCCTGCCTCTTCCCACCCCACTTCTTCCTGCCCAGTTCCTCCCCCTCCCCCAAGCACACCTCATCCCCATTGCTTCCCCTTTCCCCCCAGCACCTCCTGCACACCGAGGAACAGCAGATTGTGGTGGGCAGGAAGCGCTGGGAGGGAGAGGGAAGGAGTTGATCAGCAGGGCCACTGGTGGGTGAGAGGCGCTGGGGGGCGGAGGGAGGGAGCTGGCTGCCAGTGGGTGCTAAGCATCCATCAATTTTTTTCCACCCACAGAGTCAGCACCTGTGCCCCCATCCCTTGCTCTAGACCCAAAACAGCCCCTTCTTCCCACTTACTCTTACATGGTAATCACCCCTTGTAATTAATTTTTTTTTCCAGGGCATGTTGAAAGCATTCTTATAAAGAAGGTGAAGCCCTAAGACATTTCTCCAAAGGAGA